GGAATGCCTCCTGCCTGCATGCCTGCCCCTGCCATGTTAGGAACCTGTGGGCATAAGAGAGGGGGTAAGAATCAAGGTGTCTCTAGATTCAGCCATACAATTACAGGAAGTTGAAGCAGATTATCAGATTAAAGTCCCCACAGCCAGCATGAAGATGCCAGAGCATGAAGAGAGACAGGCTACTGGGCATTTTCCATGCTCTCCGCTGCCTTCAACTCCTGCACTCCTTCCTGTGCATCAGGAAGAACTGGAGAGAGGCCCAAGCCTCATCTCATCCCCAGCACATGGGCAGTGACTGAGGAGATGGGACAGATGCCCCAAGCCCCTCTGAGAGCCACTGACCCAGGCCTTTTGTTTCCTGGAGGCACTGTTCTGTGGGACGCCCAGCCCTCTCCAGCTGCTGCAGGACAGGATCACACTCCCCCATACCCAGACCTGATCTACAAGACGTCAGTGCCCATCCAGATGAGCAGAGACATTATATGTACCTGGCGGGGCCCCTGCGGGCCGCTGGCTCCCATGCTAAGTGGTCCAGGACCCTGTATCCCACCAGGCATGGGGCCACGTGGGGTGGGACCAGGCCCTCGAGGCTCCATGCCCCGGGGCTCCATGACCCTGGCCTCCATGGCCCTGGCCTCCAGCACCCGTGGCTCCAGGACCCGTGCCTCCAGGGCCCGCGCCTCCAGCGCTCGTGCCTCCATCACCCGGGGCTCCAGCCAACGTGGCTCCAGCCCCCGTGGATCTCTTCCCACTGCAGAAGAAAGACAAGAGAAGCTGTTGAAGGGAGCAGCACTGCAGGGAGGCTGGGAGCGAGCCCGCTGCCTCATTTGCTTGGGGACTAACAGATGCCTGGGAAGCGCAGGGCTGGGAGCAGAGGGGACATGCCTGGAGAAAGTCCTTTCCCAGCGGAACTGTCCCTCCTTGCCCTGGGGTCAGTTGTTTCACGGCTGAAACCCCCTTCCTACAGCTCATGCTGGGGCAGCAGGCCCCACTCTGGCTTCCTGTCTGCACGCTTCAAGCCACCCAGTATTTCATGCCCCCTATCTCACCTCGAGCATCCATCAAGGGCCCCCGCGGCTCTCCCATCAATGGTCGGGGTTCTCCCATGGGTCCCCCCCTCATCTCATGGGGGGGGCCACGGCTGTCATGACCAGGCATATGGTGCATAGGGGCTCCCTGGTGGGGCGGCCCAAGGTAACCTCTGACGCAGAGAGACGAGGAGAGCAAAGCAGGAGAAGGAGAAAAAGCGAGAGAGTGTGAATCAGACGCTGGCTTGGCACGGTCTGGGCAGAGAGCTGGGATTGCCCCCGAAGGCGGCCGCAGGGGAGGAGGGTGAGGCTGGCACAGGGACAGGGGCTGTTGGCTCCATGCCACAGGGCTGCTGCCATCACCCCGGGGATGCCCCGTCCCCGGGGAAACGGGCTGACCCCCACGGTCAGCAGCCTCCAACCAGGCAGCGGTGACTCCCGGAAGGCTGGTGCCATCCCTGTCCTCAGCGAGAGGTCACCCTTGGGCAGGGGACAATGCCAAGGGCTCCTCTCCTTCCCTCTCCCCTCACCTGGGCTCCACTTCTCCAGTGACTGAGAGCAGGGTCCCTCCGCGAGGGTCATTCGGGGCATCTCCCAAAAGGCCTCGGGGTGGCGGGCCACTAGCAGGTAGAGGTCCACGCTGCATAGGGGCCCTCGGGTCTGGCATGGGCACTGCCAGGGAGACACACAAGAGCTCGTGAGGATCTGCATGACCAGTGCCGTGCTGAGATTGTTCCCTGGTGCTCTGGGGCTGGGGTGTGAGGTGGCCTTGCTGCTTCCCAACGTGCAGGCAGGTGGGTCGTGCTGACCACCAGGGGGGCAGCCCCTCGCACCCCAAGGCCCTTTCCTGGCTGCTAATTTCATCCCTCTTTCCCCCTCTGGCTCTGCCTCAAGCTCCTCACAGCACCAGGTAGCCAAACAAGCATGGGTGCTGCCATGGTAGTCCCTACAAGCACTGGCATCAACATCCTGCCAATGTGGGGCCAGGAGCAAAGCAAGACCTGGAAGGCTCCTGGTACTGAGGTGTCAAAGGGGGTTGGATCCAAGGCAAAAGCCCTCTCCTCTTCCACTGCTGGCTCTCTGCGCACAGTGCTAACCTGTTCTCTCCTCTGGCCCCAGAGGAAACCCTGCTTCTCCTAACCCTGCCAGGCTACACAGAATGATCCATCAGTCCCCGAGGAGCCCTCAGGGCAGCGGGGCAAAAGCTGCTCTCTGCAGACTCCACAAGGAGCTCCATGGGAGGAGGGAGCTGGCAGGTGCTGGGATACCTTGAACGCGTTCGATAGACGCAGGCCTGGCAGGTCCCACGGGCGAGAGCTGCAGGTTCCCTGGGCAAGCAGCAGGAAAAGAGGGAGAAGAGCAGACACGTAAATAGTGTATGCACACATGCACTCAGCCTTGGGGACAGTGCTGCCTGTAGGATCATCTCTGTTTGCTGAAGTCCCCCAGAAAACCTACAGAGGAGATGCTGCATGCTGCAGATCTGGCTTTATCAACCTCTTCTGTTAACGCCACCTCTGCCACCACAGGTGTGACAGCTAGCTTGGCATGGCCCTTGCCTCACTCACTGTGTGAACATGCAGGGCAGGAGGACATCCTGCCAAGAGCACGGGCATTCTGTGGGGCCAAGCTGTGCCCCACAACACACAGCCGGGCACCTTCTGCTTCTGCCCCTGCCCGTAGCTTCCCATGGCACTCCTCAGTGCCAGCTTCTGTCTGCTCTCCAAAACCTTCTGTGTGCCAGGAATTACCAGGCTGCTCTCAGGAAGATGGTGCTCACTCCAAAGAGAATGAGAGTCAACTACCCCATAATACCTAAGACCAGAGGATCTCGGAACAGGTTGGCCCCGTTCCTGAAACAAGGCAACAGGGGTGTCAGCTGCCCATGTGCTGCATTACTGGGAGAACAGGAACGCCCCGGCTGTGTAACAGGGCTTTACAGGGCGGCCATGCAAGGTGTGAGCCCTACGGAATGCGGCTCAGCCGGGCCGTACAGACCGTGCCTGCGCAGGGAAAGCCAAAGCCATCGAGCACAGGGAAACTCCCTGCCGAGCCTCGCACTCACTGCCGCAAGCAAAAGCGAAGGCCCAGCTCCCTCTGCCGGGCACGGCGCGGGGAGACACGGGCAGCACAAGCTGCTTCCCAGGCAACAGAGGAGCAGGATAGAAATCAGAGAAGAGCAAGCTCTGCCCGCCCGCGCTGGCACAGGGACAGACACAGGCTCACAGAGAGAGGGAAAACACAGGCACGACCGGCTCAGCAAGGCTCTGCGGGGACCCGCAGCTCTCCCGGCTTCCAGGGCACGTCTGCACAACATGGGGCAGAGTAATGTGGGAGCAAACTGGTGCATAGGCTGGGGCCGTGGGAGCAGGAGAGCTGCTACCACAGCCTCGAGCCTAAGCAAACAAACCCAGGAGCTGCCCTGGATCCAGAGACAAGGCTGCAGGAAGCTGGTAGGGGCTTGGCACAGCACAGCTCAGCAGCCGTGGCCTGGGCCCCACTGGAAGGAGGCTCACATGGCACACAGCATGAACCCATGTGTTTTACCTTGTCCACGCTCCAAGGGGACAGGCCCTCCGCCTGGCATCCCAACCTGGGGCTGCATCCCACCTGAGATGGAACAGGCAGAGATCAGATCCTTCCCTGGCTGTCCCTGCACCCCTGACCGATTCCTCCAGGCCCAAATACCCCCTGCTCCCAGCTCGAGGGGTAGCACCCAGAGATTTACTTTCTGAACCACCACTGGCACCTGCCATGGCACACAGTATGGGACTGTGTGAGCTCTCATGAGGTCAAGACCCGTGCTTAGAGGAATATAGAGCAAGGCTATCTATCAGCAGGACCCATGTGCCCAGGATTCAGCCCAACCCCACCCACTCACCTCCTGGAGCCATGGGGCCAGGGCCTGGGCCCTGCACAGGGGCTGCCATCTGTCCTGGGGCTGGCACTCCTCCCTGCATGGGCGGCTGCATCAGAGGAGGAGCACCATTCACGTGCATCCCACCCTACCGAGGAGAGAGACTGGACCTCAGAGCCCTGTCACCCGGGCACGTGTGCCCCAGCTGGGAGAGCTGGAGCCAGCAATGCCCATCTCTTCCCTGCACAGCACGTGCACTGCACAGGCTCTTACTATGGGCTGTGGCTGGGACGAGGGGGCATTCTGTGGGTTCAGCTGGGCGTTCGGCCCCGGCCCAGGGCCCGGTCCTGGCCCTGGCACTGGCTGGTTGCCTGGGATCAGAGGAGGAACACTGGTCTGGCGATGCAGGATTTTCTAGGGGCAGAAGGAGAAAGGAGATCTCTACCAGCCCAGCTCCATGACAGGCTACCAGCAATACCCTCCCCAGAGGAGGCAGCAAGGGACGAACCAGTGCGATCTCTGGGTCGACGATCCGCATGACCACCTGGGCCTGCAGCAGGGCATAGGCCAGCTGGGGGTTCTGCAGCAGCATGTTCCTGGCTTCCTGGGGGCTGTTCTGGACACACAGCTGAGAAGGCACACACAGATCAGAGCTCTGGCAAGATGGCACGTGAGGGGTGTGAGGGCATGGGCAGCGGTAGAAGAAGCTGAGCAGGGAGCACAGCTCTCTGCTTCACTCACCTTCATCTGCTTCATCAGCTCAAACATCTGCTCGGGTGGCAGGCTGGCTACTGCCCGGCTGATGGACTCGGGGGCATCTTCAGGATTGACAGGGTCCCCGTAGGGTGACTCTATGATGGGTGCGCCTGTGCCCAAGCCTGCAACAGAGTTTGTGACCTTGTACAGCAAAGCAAACCATCCGTTTCTAACGGGCTCACCAGAAGGGAAGCACCACGCCGTTATGGGAAAGAGGGAGCGAAAACAGGGATAGAAAACACAGAGCCCAGGCCAGGCATCCCTCTGCAAAACCACATGCTCCATTCCCTGGAGCAGGTCAGCTCCCCGAGGTCTCCTCCATGCAGCAGAGGCAGAGAGGCTGGGGGGGGGG